TTTTAGAATTTTATGTCTAAATCTAGAACACTTTTTTTTATTGACCTTCTCTTATTTGATAATTATATTGTATTTTTATTAATTCAAAATCAAGTCACGTCAAATTTCATAAAAGAGAAGTTGTCGTGACGCCTGTTTCGTTATTCATAAGATTTAAACTTAAAATTTTATTTTAAAAGAATCGAAATTCTTCCACTTGAATTAATAAGTCATTGGTAGGTACTATTATTATTATACTTGTTATTTGTAGCTATTCTAGCTATTTAGTAAGTATTTTATCTAAATTATAAAAAAAATTAGATAAGTAATGAATATAAAAATAATATATTCACAAATATTAAGTCAAGTAATAAATATAATAGTTACTTGTACTTCTATAATTAAAATTTTATATATACTTATTATACTTAATATTTATATAATAACGAATAATTTTTAAAAATAAAAAAATAAAATACAAAAATAAAACTAAAAGAAATTACACAAGTAACTTATAAATAACAAATTTTAAACCAAACACATATTACGCATGCATTTAATAACTTTTTTCTTTTTGTGCACCCTTAGATAACAATGAGTACTTATAATTTCAAAGTTTAATTTTTTTTCACTTTTCTATTAGTGATTTTTAAATCATAATCTTTGTTCCTTATATAAATGATTTTTTAGTTTCAAACTTCAACTTTAATGAGTCCAACGCGATTCTATTTTGAATTAATTGGGACCTAATGTGATTATCAGATACTGAGAGATTAATACAAAAAAAAAAAAATCATAAGGTGAAAGTATAGAAATTAAGATATTAAAATAAATATAATACTATTAATCATTATTCCTTTCTAATGAACTGAAACAAAGGATTAAGGAGATTATGAGTCCAAAAATTTAGACATCTTCTTTAAATAACTTTTATTCTGTTATTTAATTTATTTTTATTCTTTATTTTTTTGGTGCATATTGTTAAGTATTTAATTGAGTTTAATTTTTTAATAGTTCGTGAGTTTGAATTTTAGATATGAAATCAAATTTTAATTATTTATTATTATTTTAAATCATATTTAAGCTTAAATTATAATAAATAATATTTTATTAAAATTTTACTAATTTTATTTAAGTTTAAATTAAAAGTAAATAATATTTTATCAAATTTTAATTTAAAAATTTTAAAGTAAAAGATTGTTTAATAAGTACATAAATACATATATGTAACTTATCTCATACATATTAAATTAAGTTTTAAATATAGATCTTTAAATATCTAAGTAAATATATTTTTTTATTAGAATATCTGAGTAAATGTTAAATCTAAAAAAATTATATCTAAAAATTTTTAAATTAAATATCAAGTATACGGTATCCCGCATGAAAATACTCACCCCTAATTTCCTTAAATTAAGCTGGGCGGGTGTGGGTCGGCAGTCAACATTGGAGACAATGATACCAATCAGCAGGAGGGCCCACAACTCGCCATCAAATGTAGAACTTTGGTCCCCAATCCCAGAAAAAAAAAAAATTGTAGATAAAGCTCCAGAATTTATTTTTTTAATTTAAAAATATAAATTTTATTAATTTTTAAATAATATAATTAATTTTTAATTTTATTTATTTAAAAATATCAATTTTAAATTATATTATATTTAAGCATTAATTGAATAGTAATATTAACATGGCCAACAACTTTTTAAGCCAATCAACTTTAACAATCTTTTAACCATCTAAATTGTGGGTAATATGTGAAAATGTATAAATAAAAATATAAAATTTGTTATTATTTATTTAAAGATGTAAACTAATTACTTTGATAATAAAAAAAAAATGTAAAGTTAACATCTATACGAGGGTAATGTTATTATCATGTCTGAAATTGTTAAGTCATATACATTTATTTTTTGATTTTTCTTTAATAGGTGGTTATAGTGTTTAAAAATAGAGTTTTTCTAACATGTCTAGTTAAAAAAATAATTAATAATTTTTTTTACTATTAAATTACTTTTAAAAAATAAAATTTGATTTTAATTTTAGTAACTAACTAATAAAATTAAAATGCATGACATTGATACTAAAATTAATATCAAAATTTTTTATTTTTTTTAATATAAATTAATCACTAAAAGGTATGTTAATCACACCTTTAACACGTGCCTTTAAAATACATGTTAAAAAATTTTTAAAAATAATTATCCTTTAAATTTAATTTCTTTTTGTTAACTAATATAGTAAGGGTTCTTTTAAACTTAGTGAAGTATTTATTACACTTCTCTATCAATGTACACAATCCTTCCACAGTTAAAATGCATTCCAATAGAGTTATATATTGAGATTGAGAGGGAAAAAAATCCAAAGTTGTGATAAGCAGAGTGTCTTCATAATCATCTCCTAATAATTAAATCAATTTAAGCCCCATGTAAGTACTCTCTGTTAATTGACGACTTGTACAAAGAATTAAGTATCAATTCTCCCAATCAAAGCAACAACATAGTACAGTAAAGAGCATTTCCCAAAAAATTAAAAAAGAGAGGCTGAACTAAAGATCACATCTTTAAAATTAACGAAGAGAGGCTCAACTCAAGGTTTCATTTAGCATGATTGTAGTTTTGAGTTTTTGGATTTGGTTTTTATAAATTTTGCAACTACTAAAAACCAAAATGAAAAATTAAACTGCCAACTAATAATCATAATAATATTTTGCAAATAGACATCAAAATAGACAAGTTTTTTTATTTAGCACTACAAAATCTATAAAAACTAGAACCAAGAACCATAACCATATAACTAAACTAAATTCATTCTTATTTACTACTCTACAATTAATTAATATAATACATACGAAAACAACAGTAAATTTGTTTACCTTCACTTTTTTCCCATTTTTTTATCCTTTGGGTTTCCGTCGATATTCTCTTCCGTCTTTTCTTCTTCCAACCGTTACTCCAGTCCTGATCCTAGTCTGTTTTCTGCTTCATCGGCACCAGTCCTCTTCTTCTTTCCTCTCCCTGCCATTCTTCCTAGTGACAGAGACAATGTAAGGAAATTACTAATTTGAGGTAATACTTAAGCGGACCCAAGCATTTGCTGATAATACATAGAAATTAAGAAAGATTCAATCAACCAAATCAAGCATTTGCTGATAAATGATCAAGACAACAATCAAGCATGTATCTATTCAAATCATGATGATTAAAAGATTGATAGCGCACACACCTGAATCAAAGATGGACAGATTCACCCTGGAGAACGAGTCGAACACAAAATAGAATCTCCTGTTGTACGGGCTTCGTCTATCCATTATATATATACAAGATCAAACTCGCTCGAAGCATTCACTTTCATTACAAAAAAACTTGAGCTAAGTTGTACTCCTAATGAAAAACGACAGCGCAGTGGTCCTTTTTCCAATATATACAAAATATATTTTGCTCATAGGGTTAGTACTTCTCGCCTTCCTTAAAAAAATTAATAAAAAAATTATTTTAAAATTATATGGTTTTGATAAATCATTATAATAAAAGATAAAAAATATATTAATTTATATTTTAAAAATTAAATATTTTAATTTTTTTAATAAATATTTATTAAAATGATATAATTTTAAAATAATATTTTTTCTAGTTCTTAAGAGATAAGATAGATAAATAATATTTTGCTAGTAGATTTAATGCGCTAAATTTTATAATTGGTCATGAAATATGGGGTATGTACCAGTTTAGTCCATATTTTCATTATTTTCCTACTTCAGTCATGAAACTAATTAAAGAAATTGTAACAAATCAATAGGTTACCTTGTCTATCAACTATTACTTTACTCTAATGGATGGAATTCTATGTAAAATCTTGCATGTCACCGCATAGAGTATCATGCAGGTTGTCTTAAGTGGAACTTTTTGGAGGTGGGTGTGACATAATTAGGTAAAGTTATGACCACCACTCAAAGTGTTAA